CAGCGATGATTATAATTATAGAGTGATGTTATGGAGGAAAAATTCATCGGCAGGTATTCTAATAGCTGGAACTGGCGTTTCTGGAACTTCATTGAACAAGTTTAGTACAACAGGTGGATTAAAAATTGATTCACAAGGAAATATTTACGTTGTTGATCATGGCAATAATCGAGTAATGAAATATGCACAGAACGCTACTTCAGGCACGCTCGTTGCTGGCATTTCAGGTGTAGTAGGTAGTAATAATTCACTATTCGATCAACCGTATGAACTTGACTTAGATGAAAATAATTCTTATATTTATATCGCTGATTTAAATAATAATCGAATTCAAAGATATCAATTCGGTGTGCCAGATATTGGTATCACGGTTGCCGGTGGAAATGGTCCCGGATCGAATGATAATCAACTTTATTGGCCTACTGACGTTTGTATTTCGAAGAAGACCGGTGATCTCTATATTTCAGACTTTGCTAATCATCGAATTCAACGTTGGAGTCCAGGAGCAACAAGTGGAGTGACGGTCGCCGGCGTAACGGGAATAAGTGGGACTAATGCGACGTTATTGAATGGACCTTTTAGTATCGCTTTAAGTATGAACGAAACTTTCTTATATGTATGTGATTCAGGCAATCATCGAGTACAAAGATTTCAAATCCTATGATTAACTTATACTAAATACTGCTGACAACATGTAGAACATATTCTTATTCTAATATCAATTTAATCTTTGTAAACATTTAAATACACTACAAATAAATTAAATAAATCTTTTTAAAGTATGAATCAATGTCATCATCTAGCGGGTGGGTCTGGTTGAAATAAAATAATCACATCCACACTCACATTTGACGCTAAAAGAAGATTTTTTTCTGACACTCTGTGAATTATGACATCTATAAAATCTTCATATTTTTTTCTTTTCTTTGTCAGTTGTGTTGGCGATATACGTTAAGTGAAGAAACAAATCATACTTTACATATGCGTGAGTCAACTTCTTTCTTTTTAAAAAGTAACAACTATTAGTGTTATAAAACAAAGCTTGTAATACTCATAGCAGAGATGTATTTGGAATATGATATGAATGGAGAAATGGTGTTCTATTTTATGGTTCCATTCATTGTGTTTATTCTTATGATAATAACATGTTGCTCATGGTCTGAGAATGAAGAAATCTCTTATTTTTTTACAGATCATAATCAACATCGATCATCACAAGTAAATAAATCTAATCAAAAACGGCACCGAACATTAGTTAGAATTGGTTTAATCGTAGTATGGATTGTTTTGTTTATCGTTGTTTATTATATGTCACCAACTAATGATGACAATCTCGAAGAATTCGATCCATTTCTAATATTGGATGTCGATGAAGAAGCATCAAACAATGATATAAGACATGCCTATCATGAATTAAGTAAACAACATCACCCGGATCAAGGTGGTGATCCTGAAAATTTTAAAAAACTTGTTAAAGCCTACAAAATTCTAACTGATGAGACAGCAAAGGAAAACTGGAGAATGTATGGTAATCCCGATGGACAAAAAGAATTACATTTAGGTTATGCTATACCATTATGATTTTTTGATACAAAAAATTCTATGTTCATTCTATGTGCTTATGCTAGCATTTTTATTATTTTCGCCCTAACGTGTTGTTTATGTTGTTGATTAGAAAAATTTCATCATATTATTGTCAGTATTAAAACTGTGCAACGTATATTATTTCTTTGATGTGAATCATACGACAATCTGTCAGAAAAATAAATATTATAACTTCAGTTTTGTTCTTTCTTTCAAAATATTACTCATCAATGATGCTTCATATGATAGAATGGTTTTATTGATGTACAGCTCTTTCAAGTCAATCTCTAGGTATATGTCATCATATGGGTTCTCAAAATGATATTACTGATATTCTCTTCATATCATCAAAGGATGTAATCGTCACTTTGTAATATCGTCACCCACACCTACACCCACCCTCAAGATTAAGAAGTGCTTCTTTATTTATCGTTAGTTTTATTTTAATAAGCAGCACAAATAATGAGTAGTTACAAAAATGCTAAACGATATTAATTAAAACTTCAATCGGTATGTGATCCGATCCAAATTGTTTCAAACATTCCTCTAAATCATTTATTTTAGTCGACACATCGACATTTTTCACTTGGAAGTACCCTTCTTCAATCCATATATGATCGCATTGCCTCGTTCCTCTTCCATCTTCGCTAAAATATGTATTTGGGTCTCCCTGAATTGCATTTACAAATTTTATCGTTGTGTGCTTCTTGAACATTTTTTCCATTTCATGTCTTGTAGCATTCATATCACCAAGAACAATAAATGGTCCTGCAAACTGTCTGAAAACGAGTTCTTCCAATTGAGCAAACTGTTTTCCTTTTACATTATAGTCTAGATGTACGTTCACAATCGAAAATCGTTTTCCATCATTCGTTTCACAATTTATAACTTGACACTTTTTGCCATTATCAAATGAAACTGGTACAATATCATAATTCCCTGCCCATGTTTTTGAGACGAGTGTCATAGCACCGGCACTATGTGCATTAACGGCTTCGGATTTGGAAGCTAGAAACATAAATAATATAGCACAAATTATTTCAGACATAGCTACTGAAGGAACAGATTTCAGAGACAAAATACTTTCTTAGAAAAATAATCTCTATTGCACACTTTATGTACGACAAAGCTTTATCATATGTTATCTTAAAATATATCTACAGAAGTTTGAGAAGACCAACACTTCGTCATAATAATCTAATCTTTTTCGAAAACATGTGGCATTCTGAGAAATCAAAACCTTCAACTGAGTGCAGCTTTCCTAGTTCACAATGTTCAACATTGCCGAATAGAATATATATTCTCTCAATCAATAATCTGTGCAACTGCTTGCAGGTTATAGTTCAAAGAGCTCTTCCATTACATAGTCTTTCGAAAGGCTTTCGCGTCTTGCAGAATGTCGAAGGATATTTGGGACTGTAGTCGACGTATATACGTGAAAACAAGAATTGCACACACATATATATGAAGAAGAAGAAGAAGAAAAGAAAAACAATAACAAGAACAAACTGCATTTGCATTTCAAAAAATCATTGATATATATTTTTTAAAGTGAGACCTCAAAGTTCTCCAATAGAACTTGTTTTTACTTCTAATTGCCTTTTTTCCACAACAACTAACAGTTTATTCTAATGAACTTACCAAGGGATGAACAATCATATCTTGACGGAAAATGTTTGTCAAATAGAAATCGATCTTGTTCCTGCGCTTCCTGTAGCATAATGAAGTCAGCTGAGGAGTTTTGCATTAGGCGTAATGTATGTTCGCGGCGATTTTGATAATCGAGAAGGTTAGATGGAGTGTTTGGATAGTATTGTTTTTTAACAAAGGCAGCAGCTAAGACATTGTATGTAAGAATGCGTATGTCAGTCATTTTTCTGCTTCTACACGTATGAGTTATGTGAAATAAAACGTCAAAATGAGAAGAAAAAACGACGCACGCAGTAATAATAAATAGTGATAGAAAGAGAAGATATATAAGTAAATATTGACTCATGTTATTTCACAACCTATATGCAGGCTGATGACATTTGTTTTCTGCACCCTCACTGTTCTAGATTAATTGACTGTTTTTATTTGTTTTATAAAGCACTTTGAAAAAATGTGATTGTCATAAATAAAAGTAATCACAAGATAAATGTGTGTTCTATTTGTAGGTGATTAAATATTCGGCAAAAGCTTGTGCATCATGATAGATCACAAAAATATGTCTTCCATTAGTTGTCGAGTCGAATCCATCGGGTGGACTCCTTATTGAACTATTTCCTTGAGTTGTATTTCCAATGAGCACACGAGCCATGAACATACATCGTTCTGCATTCGAATCTGGATCAGTAAAACTATGGCTATAATCAGCATACGATGAAAAATAAACACCAACACCATATACTGTACCTAATTATAAAATAAAAATTATAGACTCTATAGAATGCAGTAATATTAGAATAGCATACCATGTTTTCCAGCAAAACTTCGATTAAAACAGTTTTTAATAATCGAGTCTGCTACCTGTTGAGAACAACCATGGTACAGACATTTTTCAGTATCTGTATTAAGCCGTTGTCGAAATTCTTTACTATGTGCTACATATTGTGCATACCATCGTTCATTTTGAATTCGTTCGAGTTGTATTATTGCAGTATATTTTCTATTCATTGTCTGATCGAAATCAGCGATGATCGATTTATATTCAGCACTATTGCTTGGTACGACAAAACGTAATTTATTTCCCGTTGATTGCTCCCATGTTGACGGTAGTTGATAATCGATTGACGTTCCAAATTCTATTAAAATTAAAAGAATGTTTTCTGTGAATATCTTTACCGAAATTTATATCGTACCTTCTCGGGATGACAAGATTTGATTACAAAACTGATTAAAAATAGTTTGTTGTTTAGATTGAATAACAAACTTCACTGTTAATGGTATACTTCTCATTGCAAGTTGATGTTTAATTTCTTTAACCATCGTCTTAACTACAATATTTGTAGGACAGCGGTACTGTCCACATCCAATAGCTGGAAATGCAACTGAAGTAAATTTATATAAAATAACATTCTGAATAATATTCCATATAAAATCAACGATTGATTGTTGAAGAACATCTTCATTTCTATCTGGATCCCATTTGATAAAAAATATCTGTTTACATGGTAGCTTACCAGATGGAATTGAGAGTATGAGCGATTTTTGATTATTTTCATATTCTTTTGCATACGCTATTTTAACATCGTTACCAGCTGCATTCATTATTTCTTTCTTTAAAATATCTGACGATGAGTTTCCAATGATAACATCAACCTATCAGTAATAATAGAGAAGAAATATACTTGATATTGATAAAAATCCAGCTTTTAGTACTTACTTTTTGCGTTGTTATGTCACCTATTTCAACTTCAACCGTTCCTTTTCCAATGGCTACTGATAAAGATTTTATTTCTGAGGTCTCTTGAATTATGTTAATTTGTGCTTGGAACTCGTTGTAAATATCTGTTCTATTTGGTAGTATCACAAAGGAAACAGACAGAGGATACTTTACTAGTTGACGAAAAACTTCATCAACAAGTGTCCAAGCCACAAAACTGATTGAACATCCGTATTGACCGCAACCGACAGCGGGAAATGCAATACTATTATAGTTTTCGCTTGCTGCTTTTTCCATTGCATTTGAGACAAATTTTCTAATTGATTCACAACATTTAATGTTATCTATATTAGGTCTCCATGGAAGAAAGTAAACTGTTTTCGCTGCTAGCTGACCACTAGCTGCAATAGAAATGATAGGGGCGGTTGGATTATTTTTGTATTCAGTTTCAAATGAGTACTTCATCAAATCTCCACCGATTTTCAAAACACTTTCATGCAAAGTCGTTGACAACGAACATACAACGATAGCATCGCTCTAAAGTAGAAGTGAGTGGATCCATCTCATTAATTTAAAATACTTGATCTTACTTGTTCGACTATTAGATCACCTTGATAAATGTGAACTAAAGCATTCAAATCTCTGTTAATAATTGGTTTCTGTAATAGAGAAAAAGAAGAATATAAGATATGTCTTTAGAATACTGAATCTTTTCAATTACTAATTATATGAAATACTTACCATCGATGATGTGCTTGCATTCGAGACTAAATTTCGTAATTCATTGCATCTTTCGGAATAAAGTTTGTAGCAAGCATTACCTTAAAGAAAAAAAGACGTTCAAAATTTTAAATCTCGTATATTTTTCATAATAACCTTTAGGACAATAATAAATTGGATTGAGCTTCGAGATACGTTCGTTAAAGAGAGTAATTTGAGTTTGACGATTGAAATGCTCTACACAATCCATAAACCAGCTAAAACCGAATTCACGATCGCACGTGCTAGCTCGTTCATTAGTTATCAAAATATCCCAAAGTTCTTCGGTATGTTTGTGTAAAAAAGAAGAATTGCCTCTTTTTAACACAGATGAAAGTATTTCAAGATGATTTTTCGTCGATTCTTGGAATGTGAGATGTCCATCAACTAATGTGTCGGGCATTACACTACCTTCCGTCTTGTTCCACATATCTTGTTGAATATTTGAAAGGTTTTCAATTAGAACATTGATGATATTATATTTGTTAACTAAGATTTCAATAAAATTTTTATTATTTGTAGGATCAAGACGCAATATTTCGTTGAGATATTTGACCGAGCGTGCGTGCCAAACTTCTTTTCGCTGAACAAGTTCTATGCATTTGGCACTATAATCACGTCCGAATTCGTCGTATTCCGAACGATCTTCGCTAAGAATTTGATAGTGACTACGAAGGAAACAGTCGAGCATCGATGGACTTAAACCGTTAGTAAGTGTCGCGTCCCATAAAACTTGTAAAATCTATTACAAAACTATAAACCTGTTCTAGTTTTTCCTAAAGTTTTTATGAGCCTACCCGAGCAGTCGATTGTTTTTCACATTTAAGACCAATTTCACCTAACAATACGATAGACTCCATATGCATAGGCATCGTTTGTGTTTTCCACGACTAAAATCTTCACAAAATTCAAAATCTTACTTTATTTATTAAAAACTCACTTCATCGATACAATCAATTAAATGATTCAGCTGTTCTGAATTGAATTTGACTATTTCAGCAAATATGAAGGATAATTCACCATGCTAAATGCATAAATAGTATTTTACCAATGTGTCTTCCACAGTAACGAAAGATTTCTACCTGCATTTTCCATAACTTTTCAAAATCCTCTTTCAAAAAGTGCGGTGCAGCAAAACCTATTAGTACACACACTTTTTTCATATATTCTATTTGAGCGATATTTCCTGTTTATATGCAAGAATCGATTATTTATTTGATAAAAGTTTTCATTATAAGATAAGTTACCTTCAAGTGCTTTCCATAGGATTGAATTTTCCATTATATATGCGGTGAGTACATCATGTGGGATTAATGTATTATTTTCAATAAGTTTAGCGAGCTAATCAAAAGAAAAATTCGAATTGTCGTGGTATTAATAAAAAAATAAAAGTTATCATACTTCTGTCATTGAGTTCATTTTAGCATTGAAATTTGTTTGAGTAATCATTTGTAAAATGAGATTTAGATGCAAGTATTCAATATGTTTAAGACAATGTGGCCATACGACTGAGCAAAGTTTTTGTAAAGTGGACAACAATTCGAATGTGTTGTTTATCGACTAAAGTTCTCACATTTATATTATAATTGCAGATAAAGAAAAGAAATAATACAAACTTCAATATGAAAATCTTGTTCTTTTAAATTTTCGATATAATTAAATATTTGATCAATATCTTTACCGAATAACATTCGATACTTTCCTTTCATAATATAATTTATACAATTAACAAATGGAGCTAGTAGAGCATTGTATTCCTAGAAACGACAAACGTTATATTAACAATTTGTATGATTATTTGTATACCAAGGCAGTGAATGATTGATAATTTTCAAATTGTTCTGCCAAATTCTGAATTCCTTTTTGTTCCACAAATCGATTAATAATTTGACAGAGCCAACCGTGTGTATCACTCGACGTGATCAACAAAAATGAAGGACACGATAGTAAACGATCATCTAATTCTTCATTAGAGAAACAATATTGAAACGATTGATTTTTATGCTTCTGGTGAAAAACAGAATTTGAATCGAAGAGTATAGCCAATGTTGAAAGTAATTGAATAGGCACAGGTGTATATGAAAGTCGAGCAGCAATTAAGTCGATTAGTAATATTGTTATTTCATATATGCTGAGTTGTACTTCATGTGACCAATTATTAATATGATGTGAACAATGTAACTAGACGAGTTCAAAGAAGAAATTCGATGAAAATGAAACGAAGAAAAACGACGTACTTTTCTAAAAGCTTCGGGAATAAGAACTTCCATGAATTTTTTGCAACATTCATCTTCATCAGCAATACCTATTGGATTAAATGAATGCATCAAAAATAAATCAACAAAGAAATATTTTTACTTTACCAAGGAGAGCAAGGTTAGTAGCAGATAAAAGACATGCACTTAATGATTCTTTACCTAAAACACAAAATAAACGATATCGATCACCGAATCTGTTCATATACCGTCTAACTTACGTTTCAATGGAATCGTCCAGTTCTCACCATAAACTTTTGTTTCCAAATCCAAGAAAGCACCGGTGGTAAACAAATTCGAATCGTTATTCATTTGATTATTCGATTTTGTTGTTGACAATATATTTGGATTATTTTTGAAAAAAGCCTAGTAAATAGAATGATAGAATACATATGTATATTAATAGCGAGCTCCTAAAAACAGATCTTTTGTCTCTCTTAAATAGACTAACCATTCGTTGTTCGAATTGTTCATTCACAAACGATTCAAGAGCTATTATATCATTTGTGTTATCATTAACACTCGTGGATCTAGGAAAAATGTTATCATTATCGGTATTAATTATCCAATTTTCTTCCAGAGGTAATTCAGGATCGATAAAATCTAAAAAAAAGTAATGTTATAAATATTTTCTTTGATATTCTTATGTTACTCGATGTTGTTAAATGGGATTCATCATTATTTACTGCAATAATCGCTGAATTTCTAATTCGAATGAAAATGAAATATTAATCTTAATAAAGCAAATAATAATTTTCGATCTCACCTATTGTTCGTGTTGTGTTCTATACATTTGCGTTTAGAAACATTGTCACTTGCATTGTCGTCCAACGATGTATTGTTCGAACAGTTAATACGTTTCATTACAATCGTAGTCGAGTTAAATCTACGAGATCTATCTGAAATGAGTCGAACATCATTATATAAACTCATTCGATGGGGACATTTAAGGGATCCGTTCGTCATTTAATATTATCGAACAGTATGGCAGAAAATTCTATAAAAACTTTCATTATATATAGATCTTTGACGGATGTGATAGATTTCGAAATTAGAAAAAATGCGAACAAATTAAAAAGATATACATACTTGTTTAGTCACTTATCCTATTTTTTGTGCGAGGATCTATCGAAGGTATTTAGAAAGAAATATAAACTAACTTTGCTTCACTTAATGTAATACTCTATTCATTAAAAAAAAGAAAGAATCGACACAACGTGCACATATAATGCGCTTTATTATTAACAGAATAGTGACGTCTTACATTTTTCTCTTTCGTTCTTTTATTTGGAAAAAACCTTTATGAATCATTTTTTTGTTAAGAAAAAAAAATGAAGAAAATATTTTATTAAAATGAATAACATCATTCTATTCTAAACATTTGATAAAGTAATAAGGTAATATTTTTTCAGAGTGAATTATTATTTTTATAATTTGTAGATCATTCTATCGTTTACACTGTAAATATAGAGACGTAATCAATGAAAATGACAAACTAATATATATATTTATTGTACCACACATTTCGAAATGTTCCATACGACGACAAGGAGACTGGGAAAAAACAATGGTAGTGGGGAAAAAAGGAATGAGAAGAAAAAACACGTGAAATATATACATGAAGAGATAAGTAAAAGAAACTAGAGAATGACATTCTAACAAGAAGATTTTTTCAAGTTTAATGTCAAATTATAAGACTTATCCTTATACAAACCGTAATCTCCACATGAATTTATTGATAATTCTGTTGAAAAATGCATATCTATAAAATAATCATAAATAGATAAGTAACATTCAAATGTGAATCTGAAGACGTGAGGTATACATTGTAAAATTAAATAGTTTCATGATTAAAAGTAACATGTAGATAGAATAATATGAATCAATGTATATATTAGTAATAAATGATTTGCTTCGTCATCTCTTCGTGATTAAAGTAAAACATTTACCTAAACGTGATTTTCATTTGACCATAATTTCATTTTTATCTACAAATTAAATAAAGTTGACAAATTTGTTATTTTCAATATTTATGACAAAACATATCAAACATTTTTTTCCCGTTTTCTGCGCAATTTATAACCTTGACTTTGCCCCATACAAGTATAAGAGAAAAACAATCGACAATCCACGTGCATCATTCTTGTAGATGTAATAGGTATTATTCATATGCTTTCTCTTCCTTTTCAAAAGGTAAATATTATCAATGAGTCACTGATACGTTGAAAAAAATCAAACACCATTGATCATTGATTGTCTTATTATAAACTGAATGAAGATTAAATTAAAAAGACACAGTAAGAATCATGCAAAAAGTATATCTGTATAAGTATCAAGGACATAATATTTAAATAATAAAACCAAAATTCATCTAGAACTATCTGTAAAATAAATCACATGTTTATGTGGATATGCATCGAAGTGAACGATCTTTTCACAATTTATCCAATTACATTTATAGAGAACTCTAAATCTGCCTACTTCCTCATTAATTGTATCATGTTGATGGGTGGGTCTTTGAGTCTAGATGAGTGTGCATATGACTAGTGCATTCATAGCCACACTCACATCCACCCATCTAATGTATGAATTATTTTCGGAAATCTTTATGCGTTATATAGAAAAAAAGAGAACCTGTTATAGAAATATTTATAAGTATTGAAATAAATTAAAACAGAATTTAGGGGACGTCAGCTTTCAGTTTCATTCACATTCTCATGTTCTAATTCCTTAAAAGTAAATGGAAATTATCATTTCAATGGGAATGGGAAAAAATCGTTCCTGCAGGAGACTATTACTCACATTCTTATCTTCAACATTATAAGCAAATTTCCTTTGTTTATACAATTCTGTCAGAACAATAACATTGTATTTCTTCTCTGGCTTTTTTTTCATGACATGATGCCGTCGTCTAGTAGCATATAAAAGAAAGAGAAAAGACTGCATCACAACAAAAGAAATATTCTACGACTCGTAAATACGTTGATTTCGAAGAAAAAAAGATGGCATCAAATACACCAACTGGTGGTTGGAGAGTTAAAGTTGTTTCTCTTCCGGAGTCTGTCACACATGCTCAACTAACTCAAATATTCGCTCTTCCATATTCTTGCGTTTACCTTCCCAAGGTCGACGATGTTGGTACTTGTTATGCATGGATCGAGAATTTTACTGACGAAGAAGATGCAAACAAGTTTGCAAAACAATGGACAAATTCAACAGTTTTTGGTAGACAAATAAAATGTATCGTGAAACCGCCAATTATTAAACAAGATATTCTTCGTCCGTCACATAAATCATCAAGGTCCGGTAACAATAAATTGTCGCACAATAAACCTGGAGTAAGTGCTACTTGGCAAGATTATGAAAAATGTGAAAAATATAAGTTGTATGATAAACGTGGAGGCGAATATAAACGTCCTGACCGTTCTGCTACAAATAACGAGTCCAACAGTATCGAAACCGAGACATCAGGTAAGTCATTATATATCATCATACCAGTTAGGTTACTTTTTAAAACAAGATCTGAACAATTAATTCAAATATTCTTTTAGTTTCATAATCTATAAAGAAATTTTTGACATTTTCTATACTCACGGGCAAAATCACATTAGAATACTTCAATTTTGAATTTCCAATGAAATTTCTAATCTAATATCGCAGTCTATAAGGTTTTACTAAAATATTGACTCATAATTTTGTACACATAAAGGTTAATATATTTATCTGCTCACTGCATCCCATCTATCTTTATCGTAATGTAATGAAAGTAGATCTCATATTTAACTGTCATTTTTAGAAGATCAAAAGTTTGTTGCATTTGTTAAGCACGCCTGTATACAGTGTGATGGTAATCGGTGTGCGAAATGTGAACGATGTCGTGATTGGTATTTTACTGGCAGTCCGAAAGACTGCCGATGGATTCAAGATTACAAAAATGGAGAAACTAACGAATGGCGACGTTTTTACGAAGGTGGTCTCGGCGAACTTTTCACGCGTCGCAGTGATGCAAAGTGTTCAAGGAGTTGCTTCTTCGATCATGATCATGATCTGTCATGCAGTTCTGATTTTAGGGATACTATTTGTCTCTGTGAAGATAATATGTATGCCGAAAAACACACGAACAGAAAAAACTCCTCGTATGTTACAAAAAAAATATATTCTGAAAATTAATCTTTATTGAATTAAAACATAATAAATACAATGATATTTTTTCTCTTATAAATAAACGAGCTAAATAATTTATGTACGCTTTTCAATACTATGTACGGTCGCAATAAACACAAAAACAAAAGAGAAGTAAGATATACGGTACTTCTTTCAGCGAAGCCGCGTTGATATTAAAATGTAGAACAACTATATATCCTTTTGTCATTATTATATGGATACAGAATATCTAATAAGTCTTGGTAGAAACCTAAGGCGAACAAGATATGGATAGATGTTAAATACATTCTCTTGCATGTATAAATAAACATTATATTTCAGTAAACATTCACTACCCATAGGATGTAGCCAACGATACGTGTTTTGTTCAATGCTATGACATAGTAGTGATTTTTTTCAGTTATCTTGAATCCATTTTCGAGCACATTCAAAATTTTCGTTATCGTACGAAAACGTTGCTCGGTTAAGATTTAGAATGGAACGAAAATCGGCATCATTGTTTGCTTCCCGTACATCAACCGTGTATTTTTAATTGTTCGATTCATAAGAGAGTTCTCCATCATTCTAGCACACACACACGTTCTTGCTGAAGACATACTTTTATCAAAGTGGATTGAGCGTTAAACAACACATTTGATCGGTAGGCAAGTATAAAATGTCAACACAAGAACGAAAAAAGATTGTGCGACATGTGTCTTCCCTCTCAACTCGTGCTGTAAGATAGAAAATTACAATCTCTTCGTATTTTGTAGATTTACAGAGTGGCCCATATGTGAATGTGGGTGTCTCGCGACAATCTCACCTACACTCACGTATCTCCTTTTAGAGTTCTGCTTGTAATATATTTTAAAAACTATATAATCATTTATGAATCTGTGAATTATTTGGAACTCGATTGGTATCGAAATTTGATGTTATATTTAAGTCGAATAAATCATTGAGATTTCATTTATTGAAATCTTTCTTATCATCAAAACGTTTTCACAAAGTTAAATAATCAAAAACGCTTTTATCAAATATATATATTGCTCTAGTCTATGTATGAATACTAGTAGCAGGCAAATATCTTGATATTTGATGTAGTTGATTTCTCATACAAGCAAATTTACTTCCACCAAAATCTAAATGACGTCCTGTACCAACTAAATGAACCCAAAGAACAACTACTTGAGCAAAATTATCAGCAAAATTGCTATTAGCATAAGCATCAGGAACACATGTATCTCGTGCTACAGCATCGCGCCATTCACTGGATGCCGATTTACCACGATCCATTGAATGGGCAGATTCATGAATAAAAACTGATACATGCATATTACTTGAACAATAGTATGAAACATCTCCACTTGATCCAGCTCCACCACATACTCCAGCTGGTGATGATACCATTGCTTTATTATAAAGACGAATTGGTGCAGGAACTCTTCCCATTGTATCAATCATAACACTAGCACCTGTAACAGCATTATTACACATGCATAAAACAACACTGTGACTTATAGAACCATGATATGAAACAGTTAGAACATCTTGTACTGGTGCACCATGGCAATTACACAGATTTCTATCACCTCCAGAACCAGCAGGACTTGTTGGAGCTCGAAGAAAACTGAAATCAAGATCACCAAGTCCAGAAAGTAGTGCAGGTTTACCAAGATCCTGTATACTTACATCGATCAGCACCAATACAATCGATAAATATAAAGTTAGATACTTCTGCATTTCGTATTTTGTTTTTCTCAATACAAATTTTAAAAGAAATAACCCTTTTAAACTGCTTTTATATACTTAATATGCGTAAAAATCTTTAGAGAGGTATCACAAGCAAAAGTACGAAAATAAGGTTGTAACTGATCTGTTTTTGTTGAATTATAACATTTTATCCCTTTTTAATTCTGCTATAATTGGAAGATTGCTATATACTTCCATATGAAAAAGGAAAAACTCAATGCTCTACACAGATGGCAATTAATAAAAAGATTGACTAAGAGTATCAAGAACGTATTATCAGCAGTAAACGAATTTGATTCTTTTACAATCAGTTTATATCGATACTGGAGAAAGGTAAAGCTTCTATTCGAAATGAAATTCGATTTTACTTCATACAAATTCTAACTGAATTAGGATGATATACAAAATGCTCGAATACTTGAATAATATTTTAATGAGAAAACCAAAAATTACGTGTATATTATCAAGTTTGAAATTATCAAATACAATTAAAGATGAATAGTTATTAATATTAACTATTTATTCTAATCATATTTGAGCAAGTATATATATATATGTATTGTCACAAAATGCTCCATTGAGTTTCTGTTAATAACTGATGGTGTGTTTTAACAGGGATGTTTCATGTAAAATCCTTCTACTAAATTCAACGTTCGCTCATAAAGACGGTGTAAAAGCAAGCGATATATATGTATATTGTTATTTAAAAGTACAATTCATTTATTCATTATTTGGTTTATTATCAAATTTAGTTGATTGACTTTATTTTACAATTAATTTTAATGTTACATAGAATTATTTCATGATATTAATCATTGTAATTAATGAATACGCAATTTTTTCTACCACTATGATTCGGAAGAAACATGCAGCGCATGGTTCTTTTTAATACAATGATATTAAAACTTATCTCACTTTTCTCTAGTCAAATACACGTCGAGAACATCTAAGAGAGAAAGATAACAAATAGCCCTGTTGTGTACACGTAAAAATGCGCAATGAAAGAGAAAAAAGAAAGCTTTATTATTATACTGGATCTTTTCAGATAAGGTAAAAATCAGTTTTTCTTTTTTCATAAATAGTTAAATTCAACAATCTCTTTCAAACAAAATGTAAAATATATTTTCATTTAGATATGCCTCGAACAATGAATTTAATTCTTCTTACTATATTTATTGTCCTTTGTTATACACAATTAATTAGTTGTGATACACACTGTGCCTGTAAATGTTGCATAGGAGAACCATGTACACCAACATATCAAGGAAGTCTTTTTCTTGATCCTTGTACTGATTTGGGGTGCATGATTCAATGTCGTATGGAATATCCAACATCATGCCCGTTAGATGGAGGTTCTGGCATTACAGAAGGAAGATGTACATCAGATCCTCCACCTGGTTCTGCTATTCAACAAAAGGCAAATATTGCTTTGATAACAATATTTTTTTCAATCTTTTGGATTGTTAAGTTGTATATGTGAATATATATTAAAAGATGAGATTTTATGGTTTTGTTTAAAGAAAAATCTATAAGAGAAAAATAAATATAATTTTTTAGAATTAATGTATTGTTTATGTTTTTCTCAAATAAGATTAAATTCTGACTTGTAAGAACGATAACTCATGCAATTTCTATTCAACAAGACTATAAACAGATTATTTTCTATTCATTTCTCGCTCAACTAATAGATAAGCACAGAACTTTAGTGTTCATTAGAATATAGTATAGTATTTAGAAATTTGTTTTTGAACTTAAACACAATTTAATCTATTTTTTATTATTGATCTGAATAAATAAAATATTTCATCGAAAAGCAAAAAGAAAGAAGTTTTATTTCTTTGATGATGTATAATTCAAATAATATTTTTGTGCTCTTTCTAAGATTCGTTTTGTTGAATGATGACGAGATTTAGATGATAATGATGAATAAAAATATTTATTTAAGTCTTCTTCATTCGAATAAGATAAAATTTTCATTCGATCTTCTTGTAAAATCGATATACAAATAAATATTGTAAATAATGATCGATTATGATTTGTTATTATTGATGAAGATATTGAATTAATCCAAATAAGTTCAAGTACACGAAGAATATCATCAAATCGATAAAATTCTCTTTTACAATCAAGTAATAACCAACGATAAACAAACAAATTCTTTTCTTCTTCTTCTTGATTAAAATAAATTTTCTTCCAAAGTTCATTATCAATGGAATGAAATAATAAATTAAATAAATAAAGACGATGATTTATTTCAATTTGATCTTGATCAAATAATAAATTCATATAACGAGTCATTAATGAACAATATGCAAAATAACTTAATGATTCATCAACAAATACATAAACAATGGGAGTTAACATATCACTCATACCTTGACTATAACAAGGATACGGATGATAAACACTATAAGTCATCATTATATTAAATAAAATTTCTTTTTTCTCTAAAAAATAAATTTATATTGAAATGAAAAATAAGAAGAATAAATAATAATTACTTTTGATAAACTTAACATGTCTATCAGTACGATGAACATCTCGCAATATTTTATCAGCTAATACGAGATAAAATTGATCACCACGAGAAATACGTTCTTGCCATACTCGTTTTAATCTATTAATTCAATTATGTAGATATATATTAATTCAGTGTTTTTCTTATTTACTTATTATAACGAATTTGTGCTTGATTTTGATAGATTTTTTTGTCATAATTAGTCATTGATGGTGAATAAATATTTAATAAATAAGGCCATGTTTGTTGACGTTGTTTATAAGATTGTTGATGATTAGAAATATTTGTTCGTAAATGATTTACATCAATAAGTGAACCATCTTTATTAAATAAACGATTATTTTTAGATCGAAAACCGAAACAACTCTTTAATAAATCTATAAAACAAAAAATAATTCTTTATTTCTTTTCAATATGTTTATATTACCTCTGATATTTGTCCATATCTGTCGATGACCATGATGATATTGTTTCTGTTCTAGTTCAATATGCATTTTTTCTTTCTATCTATTAGTTCTGGTGAATAATATTCTTGTGCGAATGATTTAAATAGTCTAATGTTGATTTCACCTTTGCTTTGATTAATACTTATTATTACAGATCAAATAAATGAATTACTTTCTTTTTTTTTCAAGAAAAAAAAATAGATGAGCTGATCAATTGTTTATTGATGTAAGAATAGATCTTTTCTTTGTATATTGAATAATCAAAAGGAAATAAACTACATTTTTTTCTCATCAAATAAATTCAATATATAAAAAACACAAAAATTTATCAAATTGGAACATCGATTATTTCGAAGATTCAATATTTATAGTTTGTGATTCAACTGCTTCGAGATCATCTTGATTTTTTAATTTGATATTTTGTTTCTTAATTCCTTTTTTAACCCAATTTTTTAATAAAATAACAAAAATGGCACCGATAATTAATTGTTCAACATGATAAATAATTAATGGTAATGAAAGTATTCCACTTAAATCTTTATTTGCATTTCCATACAAAGCATTTATCAATGGAATTCCCATTGCTAAAGTTTTTGTTGCACCACAAAACATAATTGCTACTGTATCTTTTTGAGAAAATTGCCAAAATGGTATAGGTAATCTTGATAGAATTATAATTAATAATGAAAAAAATAAATAAATTCCAGCATTAATAAAAATTAAAATGAGAAGATCTTTTTTATGTATTGTTTCAAATGCACCTGTAGCAAAAGCATTAGAAAATACGGCCCAAACAAGAATTAATAAAGCTAAACTATTTAAATCGGAAAAATAAAATTTTTCACGTAAATATGTCACTTTTTTTGTCCATAATAAATGAATTATTTGTCCAATACATAAAGGAATCAAAACAGTTAAAGCTAAATTTTTAATAATACGACTATAATCTAATTGATTATCACTATTAGACGTATTTGATAATGAATCAAATATTGGATTTTTAAGAAAATATAATATTAAAGCAGGAGAAATAAATATTCCTAAAATATTTCCAAGTACAGCATTTAATAATGCTGCATATTCATTACCCAGTGCATTTTTTGTCATAACAACATTACTAGAAATAGTTGTAGATGTTGATGCCATTATTATTATACCAACAATTAATGTTTTATTTAGCGATAATTTTATTAATAATAAACCAAAAGCATAAATTGTAAATGGAATTATTAGTAAACTATAAATTTGAACAAAAAGATGAAGACGAATATGAAGAATTTCTTTGACAAGTTGTCTTGTTCTTAATGATAAACCACTGAGAAAGAAAATAATTAATACACAACCGATTTTAATAGACCATTCTGAACGAATATATCCACCTGTTTTACCTATATTTGGAAATAAATATGCAAGAAAAATAACCAAAAATAAACCAATAATAAACCAATATTTTCGAATAAGTGGAAAGAAATAAGATGAAGTCTTTTTTTTCGATTGTTCATCTTGAATATTTTGTATATATGTATGAACAGGTAAAATCATTGTTGGTAAACAATATAAACAAACAAATTTATCATTATAAATAGCACAAATTTGTGGAAAATCTGTTAAAGAGATTCTATCCAATGGAATATTATTAGAAACAATAAGAATGACAGAACTATCTTTCATTTCATTTAAATATTCTTTTAATAAATCAAAATTTTCAAATTTGTTGACAAATTTAATTTTTGATAGAGTTTTATCAGATAAACTTCCAAACCAAATAAGTGAAAATATATTTGGATCATCGGTTTTGATTGACATTTGATTTTTTACTTGATTAATAAAATCTAGTTTAGAACAAAAAAATAAAAGTAGTATAATAATATTTCACTATTAGAAAATATTTATTTTTAAGACAAGAATTTAACGATAATTGAAAAAACAGAGTTTTACTATTCTTTTCATGTGTTACCTTACTTAGTTACATTTGATATTGTGAAGTATCTCAAGCATGTTTTAATCATCATCATTCTTATCTATTCTCTTTTTCTTAACACATTCCTTGAAGGTTATTATATAGTAAGGCCTTTATACACGTGCACTTCTCAATAGTGAGTAACTCACTATACTGAGCGATCCCAGTCAATTTTACTTGAAACGTAAATTCGATAAAAAAAACAAACGATTGTATGTATATTACGTTATGATACACAATTATCAAACACATACAATGCAAAATTCCTGTGCAATCTATGATGAGCTATTAACTGTAAAGGATATCAAAATGAATCAAAGTCAACAGATATGTAGCATGATATTAAGATTACGATTCAAACCACTCTTCATATTTATTCGATGTTGACTGTGTCCATATTAAAGAATATTTTTTTTGCTTGAATCATCAGAAACCACACAAACGATCTAAGATTGGTAGATGTAATGAGAATATTTGCAATTAATACCACTGTCCTGATCTTCGGCCGAAAATAATCTTATCATTATGCATTAATTCTTATTAAACCTTCTCATGAGAGTTACAGATTAGCTCAAAAGTTATTTTATCGCGAAAACTTGAATATCTTGATTACGACTCATCTAAGTAAGCTCATTTTTTTTATTAAGAATACAAGCACTTTTATACTCCAAATCCATACGAACAAGACCAATGAAAAGTTTTAGTGATATTTAAGAATATGAGTTTTTTCTATACCGAAATTCACACCCACCTTCAAGATTCCTTGAATTATAAAAACTAAAATTCTTTATTTTATACTTTTTAAAGACAAAAAATCGTAAAAAATAATTAAAAAATTTCTTGTTTATCTATTTAATAGAAAATCCAGAATAAAATAATTGTTTAATATAAGTTATGCAAGTTCCATAGCTTCATCTGTTTCATTATTTTTTTGTTTTACTTTTTCATTAACAATATCAAATTCAATTTTTTTCACACTCGTTGATAATACTTTTACTCCTTTTTCCAATTTATAATCAATTTGTCTAAATAGAAATATATTTCGATACTTCTAAGAATAGAAATGTTATTTACCTATCACCACGAACAGCAACAATTTCATATGGTAAAAATTTATCTAACTTCTCTTTTGTTAATACATACATATTAATTTTACTACCAGAATATAAATCAGTAGTTATAGAAGCATAAAGAGCATCACGTACTAATTGTTTTGCTTCATTTTCCTAGATAATATTTAAAAAAAAGTATTTCTTATTCTTTTTAAATGAAATCAACTTGCATTCATATCTTGTTTAAAACGATCTTCAATAACAGATAATGATGTATATCCACCGGAACTTAATTTTACAAAGAAAAATGATTTAAATCAAAGATAATTTTTTTTAATCTTGTACCAGAAGCAATATAGGGCATCTAAGAGACAGTACCATAAGGTTCAATTGCAGCTATATGAGAACCCGTTACATCAACACCAACAATGATTAAATATGCACCAATATAACCTTTATATCTAATTCAGTGAAAGAAAGTATAAATAAGAGATTTTCTATAGGTAATTTTTATTTGGTAATGTTATTATGACTTCAATGACGACGGAACGAGACATGATCTGTCGGATCTAGAAACTATGGATCTCAATCTAAACATGCAATGAGATCTTTTTTAAGCTATGTGTATTAATGATAAAACTAAACTTTATATTGTCTTTGATTATATTCTCAGTTCTATCTTCAATACATAAGGTATTACATCATTCGTATATCATGTGTATTGTATCTATGATCATATACCTATATAAATGTTGTTGCAACATTCTAACAGCAGTCACGACTCTAACTTGTCGATCTTGATTTAATCTAAGTAATTCAAGTTTAGATTCAAGTATACGTGCTTGAAAATCACAATCAGCTGCTGTTCCTGCTCCAAGTGCATAAATATTATCAGATAAACGATGAATTTTTAATACATTCTCATCATGTATCATATGTTCTGCTGTAGATCGACTATCAGCACCAATTACTACACCATCCTTTATTATAAATTATATATTTAACTATATAAAATATAGTAAATCTTTATACTTTATATTTTATAGCAGCAATTGTTGTGCCTGTTTTTCGTACATTGCCTGGCAATACACCATTACTTAGTAGGAGTTCATTTCTAAATAAATAAAATGAACAAATATAAAATAATTATACATATATATACATTACCGTTGACAATTATCAAAAATAAATCCACCTGATGTTTGTTTAAAAGCAAAACCAGACATCTTTTTCTATAAACGGAATTAAAATTGAGAAATTGCAAGGAAGTACGCACTTAAATAAAGCAACATATAGCGCCATCTATGGTTAGAAACCATTAAAAAAAATTCATGGTTTTTTTCTGCAGCAAACTTTTTTATAATCTGAATCGTTTTTTGTTAAATTTTTTAATAGAATTTCATATTAATCGAACTAAAATTTCGATAGTTATTTTTAAACCAATGAATATCAAATAAAACTTGTCTTTTCGTTTGAGTTCGAGAAATTACTGTATTTCTAAATTTTACTAGACTAAACAACTGTTATTTTAGATAGACAAAAGAAAAATGTCTCCAACAGGCGATAAAAATGTTGTTCATCGTCCAGGTGCTCTTAAACAACAAAATAAAGCATTTAAAACTGGTCGTCATCGATCTCAACATGAAATAAAACGAAGCACTCAAGGTTTATTTTATTTCTCTTATGTCCTTTCATTTTTTTGTTAATAAATGAAATATTTTTAGGTCGAGTTGCCGATAAAAAACATGCACGTAGTTTAAAACGTTTGGGTGTAACACCAAAACAAAATCGAGTTAATACAGCAGTTCAAATTCGAAAACAAAAACTTCAAGCAAATAAAGAAGCAAGACAAACTATTGGTGCTATTGATGGAGTTCCACAGATTATTGTAATTATCTCATATTATCCTAGTTTTCATTATCATTAGAGACATGGAAGACTATATACTCCTTGTTAATAGAGATTCGTTCGAACTTTGTATAAAAACTAGTAAATCGAAAATACTTTCTTTCTTTCCTAGATAAATAATAAAATGACGAAATTAATTCATATTAAAAACACATTCATTCATTATACTCAGATAGCATTCGAAAGATACTGATGCATTCATATATAATTAGAATCAAAATTGTTTTAGAGAACATGTAGAATATACTAATCAACGAGGGAATAAACAAAAGAGATTCTTATATTTAGATCGAGATAATGAAAACTATAGTAATAAACGTGTTATTCTTTTTTTTATTTTAAATATTAAATAATAAATAAAATGTATTATTTAGACAGTAATACCTTTATCATCAGATGTGAATGTATTTTCAATAATAGAATTATTAACCAATTCAATTGATGATACTAAATCATCTGATATAGCAACAGAATGTGGTGCAAGAATTTATACGTATATTCATTAGTTTTCTTGTTCTTATAAAATAAAATTTTATTTTTATTTAGATGTCCAAAACTTCGTTCAAAATTTTGTTTTTTAACTCCACCACCAACAAATCTCGAAAATATTCTTGATGCTGCAAAGGTTTGATTTTACTTGATTTTCTAATTTTAATTTAATAAATAAAAACTTTAGTTGTCCGATACAATTATTTATGTAATATCAGCATCAAGTGGTATATCAATTGAAGGAGATTATTTACTTGATTTAATAAATGTTCATTGTTTACCTGGAAGTATAATTTATTCGGTTGTCTCATCGTCAACAGATGATTCAATGTCAGTAACATCATCAACATCGCGTCATTCATTATCTCGAAATTTAGAAAGATTTCTTCAAAAAAGATTTGCAAATGTTAAATTAGTTCCATTAGATAATGAACAAGATGGTCAACGTCTTTTAAGAAAATTAACTGAACAAAAATTAACTAAACCAACAAAAAAATGTTTGAGACCTTATTTATTTGCTCAAACATATTCTTATGAAAATCCAAAAGTAAAATATTTTCTTTGTTTATTTTATTTAATTAATTTTCTTATTTAGTCATCAATAAGTACATTAAAATTAAGTGGATATTTACGTGGTATACATTTATCTCCAAATGAACTTGTTTATATTCCTGGTTTAGGAACATTTCAATTAGAAAAAATAGAACAACATCAGTTTCAACGAGATGTAAATTAAATAAATTCTTGTTTTTGTTATTTTTAATGAAATTAAATTTAGTCTGATGGAATTGTAAAACCTATTGTTGAAAAAGTTTATTTACCCCAACCTGATGTTCAACGATCATTAGCATTTGAAGCTGATATAGATCCATCAATTAATTATCAAGATCAAACATGGCCAACACAGGAAGAACTCGAAAAAGCCGAAATAGAACATGCTCAAATAAAAAAACGTGTACCAAAAGGGACATCAGAATATCAAGCTGCATGGATTGTTTCAGATGAAGAAGAACAAGTCTCAATTTAAATTTATTTTAATAAATTTATTTTTATAGAAATTTTTTTTAGGATTTCGAAGATGATGATGAAGAACAACAAAATATGGTAACTGCTAATGCTGATGAATTAGAATCAATTCAACTTAATCAAGAAGAATACGAAGAAGAAGAAGAAGAAGAAATGGATGAACTTGTTATGAATCCAAATAATTATGATGAAAAATTAGATTTAGAAGAAGATAAACAAACGTTTGTTAAAAGAAAACTTTCTTTTTAAAAAATATTTTTATTTCTTTTTTTTAGTTTAAAAAAAATTAAAGAAGCGAAATTAGATGAACAATTTCCTGATGAAGTTGATACACCAATGAATATTCCTGCTCGTGTTCGATTTCAAAAGTACCTTTTTTTCTTTTTAAATAAATCAATTAATTTCATGTTCTGTTTTCTAAAGATATCGTGGATTAAAAAGTTTTCGAACAACAAAATGGGATCCAAAAGAAAATTTACCTGAAGAATACGGAAGAATCTATCAATTTCCTAATTTTCGAGCAATGATTAAACAAATACAAACTGAACAAGAAGATAATCATGAAAAACAAGATCATGCACAGGTGAAATATTTCTCTTTTTCTATATTCTAAATCAATAAATTAAACTGTTTTTTTTTTCTTTGTAGGTACATAGTTATGTAACTCTCTATATAAAAGATGTTCCAGTCAATCGATTTGGTAAAACAACTTTTTTTCTTAATAAATATTTTTGTAAAATATGTATCTATATGTAGAACCTGGTCATCATATATTTGTTTCCGGTCTTTTACCTCATGAACAATGTCTTTCTGTATTAAATATTGTTCTAAATCGTACAAATGATAGTGAAATAGTACTTAAATCAAAAGAACGTCTTATTTTTCATGTTGGTTTTCGTCGATTTGCAAGTGCACCGATTTATTCTCAACATTCACATGGAGATAAGCATAAAGTTTGTTTCAAATTTATAAGATGATTAAAGAAAATTTTTATCGTTTTTGTTTTATTTGTAGTTTGAACGATTTTTTCGACCACGTCAAACATTAGTTGCAACATGTTTTGGTCCAATAACATATCCACCAGCATCTGTACTTGCTTTTAAAGAATTTCCTGATGGTTATTTTATTTAATATATTTAATAGACAAAATATTTCTTCTTTTTATTAAAGGTCGTCAAGAATTAGTAGCAACTGGTTCTCTTCTTTCAGTTAATCCAGATCGTTTAGTCCTAAAACGAGTTGTTTTAAGTGGACATCCATTTAAAATTCAGAAAAAAACAGCTGTTGCTCGTTTTATGTTTTTTAATCCTGGTTAGTTCACATTTGTTTTAAATTATTATTCAATGATTTTATTTTGATTTCGTCTAGAGGATATAAATTGGTTTAAACCAATTGAATTGAGAACGCGTTGGGGAAGACGAGGTCATATTAAAGAATCACTTGGTAAAATATATTTATTATTATTATATTAAGAATAATTTATAATTTCTTTCAAGGTACACATGGTCATATGAAATGTCAATTTGACGGAATTCTTAAATCACAAGATACGATCTTTATGAATTTATATAAACGTGTTTATCCCAAATGGACATATGAACCATTCTCAATACAACAACACAAAGAAGAAGATATGCAATGAGCAGTTTGTTTTAAACCGTTATATGTTTTTCTTCAAAAATGAATAAAAAAGAAAGAATCTGTTACCTTTAACTATAGTTTTTATTCTAACGTTTAGATGGATGTGTCTGTGGACTTGAATTATGAGAGAAGGTGATTAAGTGTTGTATAACCTCACCCACATCCACAAAGAATCTTCCAGTTGAAATCTCACAGTAAACACCTGGTTTTCGTTTATTTATAAGCCGTTCAACAAAGTTGAACATATATAATAAATAGAAACCAAATTCATATGTATATAGTCAATGGAATCATAAAAAGATACAGATTTCTTTTCGATTGCATATCACTAACGATAGTTATTTATATTGTATTGAATGAAGAGTGAAACTATGAGCGTGGAAGTGTATTTTCTATTGCTCTCACATCCATTCAATCATCGTATCAGTTCCATCTCACAGGGATGATATTGTGTCATTAATAATATATAAATGTTATCGAAATATTAATTTTTTTATTATATATGATTTTCTCATACGTAAAATGACAAATAAATTACATTATTAAACATTTTAAATGTTTTTTACTACGAGACGATTAAGATGGTTCAATAGAACTACAAATAATTTGTTGAGATTGATTTTTATTCTTGTAAATAGTATCATGCACCTGGTGTAAGTTCATTTCAGGTTTTAATTCTTTTAAGTAAACATTATCACACATAACATCCTCTAAATAATAACCAGTTGAAGTACATGTTGCTTCAGTAAGCGGAACAATTGATTTACTAATACGACCACGTAAATGTTCTGGTAAATAATATCCTCTATGACCTTGTAATGCAGCACATATAAGACTATGAACAATTGTATGACGAGGACAACAACGAGATACAATATCAACATACCGACGAATATCTTCATCGTGTTCATATTGCCACAACCATGTAAAAGTAGCTTTTGAAGAAAGATCATTTAAACGTGCATCAATATCAGATTGAATAACACCATGACCACAATCAATATTAGTACCAATGACGGCAATATATTTTGATTTAACTTCATTCGAAGACAATAGTTGAATTGCACGAGCATGTGACATATCTTCATCTGGAGTTCCTATTACAGAATGATATCTTTAACAAAGATTTTCTCAAATCAATCTTATATTTACCTAATTGTTGTTCATTGCCTGTTAATAAAATATCTGAACCACCATCAATTAAAATAATTTCATCAATAGTCCGTCCATCTATCAAATATCTGTACGCTTCGATGATCAATTCAATACGAGTTTCATTATAATTACATAGAATTGCATAAATAGGTACTTGAATTTCATTTGCTAAACGTTGTTCAGGAAAATAAGTATTATCAGTCAACCATGATATATCTTTTGTTGGAGAAACACAATAAAGAAGTTTTGTTAATTGTTTACTATATTTCGATAAAAGTTCACGTGTAGTGAAAGTATAGTTAATAAGTGTTGTTTCATAATTATTAGACGATTTTATTTTAAAATAATATGGTAAACCACCGAATAAATCATAACCACCACCACAACCAGATATGAAAACGATTTTAGTTGTTTCATTGTTCATTCTTTTACTACACGATCGAGTAATGCCCAATGTATATGAATAGAACACGTTACATATTTTCTATTACAAGAAATGCAGAGAACGAGAAGAAGAAGGAAAATCATAAACACAACAATATTTTTTCTTACTGTCAATGGTAAGAATTATTTACTCTTTTCCTGTGTCACCGAACGAAGAATGGAGAAAAAGAAAAATTATTACATACGACTTTGGTTGCGGGAGTTTTTCGAAGATAAATAAAAAGTCGGATTCTATCCGTTTAAAACAATAGACTACATAAAGTCTCATAATTCTAATTGTTTTCAGTGATTAAAACTCTTGTAAATATTGATAAGAGTTGTATGTATTTAAATTATATTAAAACTTTATGAATATGAATGATTTCGAATATTCTAATTCTTTTTGAATTAGATATTACTAAAAAAATTTCTACCATAGAGTTGCTCAGTTCACTTCTTAGAACTAAAGAAAAAAATAAGATAATTAAAGATAAATTATATTACGTTTAACATAAGAAGGTCATCCAATAAAAAGAAATAGTTCGTTCTCATGTTATACAACTAAACTATTAAAAATTCTGATTGACGAAATCTCAATAACTGTTATGTCTTGAAATAAAATTTAATGCATAAATCCAATCATGACCAAGAATGTTATTTCCATAATATTCATCGATTGAAAAATGTTAAAAAACGGATAGTACATACTTGAATTTTTAAATTTGAACTCTAATGAATATATTTATTAAACAAATATGATTTACTACTATGAGTATTTAATTTAATATACATTTTAGTTAAACTATATGTTAATTTCGGATATTTGTTTTGTTCCGTAAAAATATTCGGTATAAAATTATGATTCCATAAACTCACAGATGAATAATTTGTTATTTTACGTTTTGTGTACTCAAAAAGTTAGTACACATACAGAATCGGTCTGTGTGTCCGACCGTTTATACGATAGTTCTTAAAAGGCTAGACCGATTGTCATGAAATTTTATACACATCGGAGAACTCATATCTGTATTTCAATCACCTCAAAACTCTGTTGATTGAGCAGTAAACAATAGAAATCAAGTTATAACAAAAAATGTTTGTCCTATAGGCTTAATAAAAGCGTAGAATTGAAAAATGAGCTACACTCGATCTTAATGTTTTCAGATGAGTAACAGTCAACAGAAATTGTGCTCATTGAAAAGATTTATTATTATAATTTTGATGTTCAGATGTTTTAGAATGACTCATCTGTCTCATACACTTTTTGTAATACAAATAACTTTCGAATAAAATCTGAAGTTTTCGCATTTATCTATTACACTATAATAGAATCTGTAAAATATTACTAAAAATAAGAGACATATATCATTTTGCACATGTAATTTAAATAACTCATCAATATGAATTAATCTTTTGTTTTTATTGTATCGAAAATACCTGAATACTAAGCTGTTATTCTATAAACATTATTAGTCAAGGGAATATTATTATACTTTCAAAATAAATATCAATTATTGAAAAAATATTTCGAGATCTAATATTTTTATAAATGAATTAGGATTTTAATTTCAAACATATTTTAGTAACTTTTTTTTATTGTGACATAAAAAAAACATATTTGAATTTTTGTCTAACATTTCCAACAGCTCTATAATAAAAATAGAAGAAACTATAATGAAAAAAATCTCAATCGACTTATAGAGACATCTATATATATATTTTTGTAAAAAAGAAAATAAATGGTGAGAATACATTTTTCGATTAGTTGCCAATGATAGTCCAACGGAGAATGATGAAATCCGTCTGGATCAGTTGTGAATAAATACTATTTGTATTTCTAAATATTAAATACATATTTTTATTAATTTTAGTTTAAGAGAATAAAAATGACAACAAAACGCGATTGGCATCACCAAGTTGAACATGAACGAAGTTTGTTATATAATTGAAATTTATTCTTTATTTATTTATTTCATTATTTATTTTTAGTACCAGCTAATGAAGTCTATGAAAGTGATGGAAAAACAATTCGTATTGAATATCGAGAAGAAAATGGAACTATTTATAAAGTATTGATTTATCTATTGAAATATTTTATTTTTTTATTAAATATTTTTATTTTAGACAACAAAAACATATCGAAATCAAAAATTAAAAGTTTTACCAATTGTTGCTGAGCGAAAAAAATGGAAAAAATTTGGTAATGCAGCTAGTGATCCACCAGGTATTAATACAGCAACAACTAAAGTTGATGATGAAATAACAATGCAATTTATTTCAAATAAAGAAGTTTGTTTAAAGGGAAATAAAAATTTTATTTTAATTAATTCGTATTTTTTTGTTTTGTTAAGGATAATAAACAAGATGAAGAAAAACTTATTAAAGAAGCCGTATCAACTTTAAGAAAAGTGCAATGCCGATTATGTAAAGGAGAACATTGGACAACTAAATGTCCATATAAAGATAATCTTCAATCTTATATGGATCAATCGACTGATAAGCCAGGTATTATTATAAAAATTTTTATTTGAATTTGACAAATCTAAATGATAGATATTATAATGAAAATTATCTTGACATATTCAGTATTAAAAGATAGTTTTAGTATGATATAAATAGTTTATGTATTATATGAAAATATCTTTCATCGAAATATAATTCGCATTTATCTATGTTTTCTGATCCTCTCTTATTAGATTTCGATATACATATATTAGACATTCAATGTAGTTCATTATAAATATCAGATTTAAGAGTAGAATTTGACTTTTTAACGTTATGCATTACATATTTATCTGAAAAAATTTGAGTACGATATTTAAAATTAAATAATTAACTGCTGACAATTTAAGAAAAAAGAATAGAAGATTATCAAATTAAATAGAATATCAAGTATAGAAGTTTGTAGACAATGAAAATATTTTCTATAGATAATTGTTTGTCAATAAATTCATTCCATATGTCACGAAAAGAATAGATTTATAACTTTATATATTAAATTGTTCAATTATGAATTAAATGATATTATTAAAATAATTTTAGCTGAAAATGCTCCACCTTCATCAACAAATACAACATCTCAAGGTCAACATGCACCAAGTGGAGGAACTTCTGGTGAAGCAACAACTGGAAAATGGGTTTCAGCTAGAGTACAACGTTCTGGTGCAGGTACTGCCTATCCTGGTGATAGAGGAGGATCAACACGTGGTGGTGGTAGTGGATCATATGGTGGTAGAAATAGCGATATGAGAAAAGGTTTGTTCTTAAAAAAAATTAATTAATTAATTTTTTATTGTGATTAATCTAGATGAAGCAACAGTTCGAGTAACAAATTTACCTGAAGAAACTCAAGAACAAGACTTACGTGATTTATTTACTCCATTTGGTCCTGTTAGTCGAGTATTTTTAGCAAAAGATAAAACAAATAATACATCAAAAGGTTTTGCTTTTATAACATTTAATGAAAAGAAAGATGCACAAAAAGCTATTGAATGTGTATCTGGATTTGGTTATGATCATTTAATTCTTAAAGTTGAATGGGCAAAGTAATTTATTTTACATTAACACAAAATTTATTTTATTTTATTTGTTTTCTTTTTTACATTTTAGTAAACCACAGAATCAATAAATAACAACAACACCACCGATTCATTTCTTTTTTTTCTTCGTTCTCTTGTTCAACATATTTTCATGAATAAAAAGATGGACAATGATTTCATTCCCATTGAGAAGAATATTTATCTAGTTGTTTAAGATAATTTCGATTATAAGCAAACACAACTAAAATTACAAACAAATATACATATAGAAAGATATTCAATTTATTCTCTTTCTCGTAAAGAAGTCTTGCAAGAATAAATTGTTTGTTTGACTGATTGATTGTGTGTCCGCAGGGTCGAAAAAACATCGAAAATCGATTTTTAGAAAGAGACATTTCTGGAGATATTTCGATGAAAGAACTTCGAATCTGATGTTAATTTTTTAAGATTTTTTTGAAAAAAGCTTCTTTTTTATAGACAAAGGACTATTTTTTTATAAAATTTGACGAAATGGTTTTTGGGATCGAAGAATACGAATCTGATGTTAGTGTTTGCAAGTTATGTAAGCAAAAGGTCTCGTAGCATTGTAGAACACCATATATACGAGAAAGAGCTGAGAGAATCCTTAGACGAGCGTTACTTGTTTTTTTACTATACTAAAAAAGTATTCTTAGAAATTAAATTTAGTTAATTCTTATCTAATATTTATTAAACTATTTATACTCATTAGAAAAAAGTTGAAACTAAATGCTAATTACCTGAATAGTTTGAATGAAAATAAAAATGAAAAATGAGTAATTATTTGAATAATTAAAGCGCACTAACAACATGAATTATTCCATACGTGCATCCTTTGTTAAATTATTGTTTCGTTGCCCCACTAAAAATAAATGGTAAAATATAAATATATATGGGTAAATAAACCTTACCTGATCCGTCATTCACAAAAAAGGCTCCGTTGTGAATGACGGTCAGTGGATTTGTGTATTCTAAAAATCTTTTTTTTATAAATTTAATCGCTTTACATCCATAACTAAAAAAACGTTTTTTTATCGTAATTATACATTGTGATAAACTTACTACACGATTAATACCAGTATCAGAAAGCAAAAATAAATTATAAATCCGTAGCATTTGATTAACAGTAATGACCAAAATATTAGTAGAATCTTCATAGCATCCATAATTAATCTAAAACAAAATTAAATTTTATCAGAAAATGTAAGGTAACGTATACCCGGGTCGAACAATCCTGCACGGAAACGGTCGGTGCCATGGTATCTTGGAGATTTCATGGAAGCCGTATTCCCATTGAACGGATCCAATAGCCGGATTTATCTGGTTTGGTCCGGAACCGACAGGAACATGTCAAAACCGGCAGTTGAATACGGTTACCCCGCTTCACTATCGGATTCCTAGTATTTTCCAGGCGGGTTCCGCCCGGAAATGGCGAGTTTGCTCAGGGTTCTCGCCGGAAATTCATGAAATGCTGCTTCAGGAACCATTGTCCTGGGTACTAGCAATCTAAAAAAAATTAAATTTTATATGACAATGTGACATGTATTATCATATATTAGACATCTCACCTGTGATATATATATATATGTACGTCCTTTATGACGTCTAGTATGGTCTAGTCAATTTGTATTTGGCTTTACGGACGAAAATGAAACAAATGTAATTTTATAGTCAATTCTTATATCTTCTATATATTAAAGAAAAAGAATATTGCGAACGATTGATATGTATATTTTATCACTAGGTAAGCCTACAGATACAACACAACCACCACGGCATACTGACTTAGATGCTTCTTCTTTGTTTAATGATTTCAGTTCGAAGAAATTTAAAGTGTGTAGAATATATATTCATTTATAATATCTTAGAGGCACAAATTGAAAAGAAAAAAAAGCATTAGTACATTAAAATGATAATTTCTATATTTAAGTTCGTTTCCCAGGTCGATTATTACGAACTACGTAAACGATTGAATACGACTGTATTCGGAGAAAAATAGGATCGTTTACGATCGCGCTTGTTTGACCTGGATTAGTTTATTCGATAATTTTGTATGTAAATATAGTTTTATTTAATAAATCAAAATAATAATATTTATCAATATGAACAATAAGAAAACTAGAGAAAACTATTTTTCAAGCCAAAACTGAATAGTATTATCAGAAACATAGATACATTCCAATTGGCAGTTTTTCTTTTCAATACCAGCAAGTTCTTCTATTATGGTGGTATCAAATAATGAATGTGGATCTTTGAAGACAATTGTCATTGTTTCTAATTTATGCATGTTACAACAGATTTGACAAATATTAGAAACAAAATTATTGTTATCGATTGATTGAGAGTCCAATTCTTTATATTTTATAATACGAATGTTACGCAATGATGATGAAGTATTTAATTGAACAATCAAACTTAAAGTATCTTCATTTAGAGGTATGTCCAGCTGACGCACAATAAGTTCTTTAAGGAATGGAAATCGATTGATTGTACCATTACGATTTATTGTTGGTACAAGTTTCAATAGCATTTGTGCATCAATATTCAATATTCGTAGATATGGCATCCAATTAAGCCAAGTCATTGTAGTGCTAATAAGTTCTTCCCCTGAAAAATATATAGAAATTTTACAAATGAAAAAAAAATATTTACAATTACAAATCAACTAAATTCACTCTATGAAAATCAATAAGACAAATCTCTTTTTATTCTTTCGAAGACTGTTGTTTATCATAACACTCTTTTAAATACAATTACTCTATTTGATATCATTGGATAAAACTGAAACAAATTCTGATATATTTACTTAAATGATTTTGAATGGGTGGAAATAATACGAATTGATCATATTCTATCAGATGATTTTTATTTTGTTCTGGTTGATAAAATGTACGAGGTATAAGTCCGAGTGTATGTCCTATATTCAAAAAGTATTCTACCAGATAGTTTTTATTTTGTTCTAATTGATAATATGTACGTGGTGTAAGTATAAGTGTATGTCCTATATTTAGAAAATATTTTACGTTATATAAAGATAAGTATTAATAAAAAACGATGGCAAACAACGTACCTCGATAATTTCCTTGAGTTAAAAATCTAATAAATGACGAGCTTAACGTTTCATTTTGTTCGACGTGTAAATACAAGTCACGACTTTTTTTAATCAACATTGGTATTAGAATATTTAGTTGAGATTCTGGTTGATTAAATTGTGTATTCATTATATCAGTCGTAACCACCAGATATTTAGAAAATACATAAGGCAACGAAAAAATTACATAACAATGACTGAATCTATTATAATGGCATCCAATCAGCATAGATCGCCAATATTCTAAAAATAAAATTGGATCAACAATGATTATGTGAATATCTCGATGAAACATTTCTCTCGCACTATTATTTGATCAGAAGAATATGGGTGTGGATGCCCGTGTGAGCATCGGTGGGTGATTGCGTGTGTGTGCATAAATCATAAAGATAATATCCATACCCACACTTACACTTACACCCACCCACACCCTTTACAGCATTTTTTCCTCCATAATGACGAAAGAACCTTTTGCAGTATTATTTGTGATTCAAAAGAAAATTCTTTCTAATGCTTGTGACCAAAAATGTTAATTAAAGACAATACTCAATAAAAACAAATTATTTCATAACTGGATGTAAAAAGACAAATGATTGTTATAAGTTAAATACTTTTGACTTACCTGTTTGAAATGATTTAATAATTAAAGCTGTTTCTTGATTAGAATAACAAGCTGTTTCGATGTAAAAATTCATTTTTTCTAATTTTGACATATGAACTAGAAGTTTATCGAAAAGAATATTTCCATCGATATACACTAATGAATAATGATAAGCTAAATCTCTATGAACGAAAGATAGATCTATATGAGTAAGACTATTACGAAACAAAAGAATAAAGTTCACAACACTTGTGAAGTATTGCACCGTTCCAAATATTCTAAATATAGACAAAAATATAAGAATATGTAATGGTTCTTTATTGATATTATTTACCGTAAAGTTAATTTTCTTAAATAAATACATGGACAAATGCAGGAAATAAACACATCATTGTCACTATTTGTAATATCTGAGGATACATGAACATCTATAACAAAAGAATATTCTTCAGATTGTAAATTCAAAGACGTTAAATATTTATATTTGAAGCATATATAATAGTGATGTAACAAGAAAATTATGGGTGCCAGAATTGTGCCCGAAAACTCTCAAAAAAGAAACTTATATTTATGATAATGTAAATTATAATAGGCAGGAGAATAATGGTTTTGTTTATAGTGTTCTACAACACTGAACGCAATGTAATGCATACGAAATTAATGTATCTAAATAAATATTCTAATCTTTCATGGTATTTTCTTTCTAAATAATAAAGCATTATAGTATATTAAGTTTCTACTTGGGATTCGTAAATTTCCAAGTAATTATCTCGATGAAATTGGTCTATTTTCTTACACTGAAATAAGAGTGTGGGTGTGAATGAAAATGTGTCTGTAAAAGAATTGGAGATTCCATTGTTTCCACTGCTTCACCCACACTCACATCCACACCAACACCTTCGAGATTTCGAATTAATACCTATCGACTACGTTTTTTCGATTCACTAGAAAAGTCTTAAAAAAAAGTTTCATAAGTATCTTAATGTTCTGATTCCTGGTAGGTCCTCTATTATTTATTTACTGTAGTTTAGAAATATCACGCAGATTTTCTTCTTAATATTCAAAATTTATTATTGATAACTTACCAAGTTTCAAAAGTTTCGGAAGAAATTGAAGTAAATTTTTTAATGAAATCAAATCTTGAATATTGATTCGGATATCAATAAGAGATTGTTGCACTTGATAAGAAGATGGAATGGGTTCGTACAAAATAACACCATTCATTTGATAAGTACCACGAAAAATACAACTTTGTAGTTGACTTTTGTCATGATTAAGTAGATTTGAACATAGTAAAGATGATAATTTTGTCAATGAACATCTCGAAACTTCTATATGTTGAAGAAATGGAATAGTTGATAAATATGGTTCAAGATCATCACTACTCATTTCAGGAATATTGTATAATACAATTCTTCGTAGCTTTGGAAACATCTTTATAACTGATAAAGAAGCTAAGAAAAAAATAAACAAAGTTAATAAAACATTTCTCTATATTTTTTAATATTAAGATTATCCTAATATAAATGTGTTCAAAAAGAAAATGAAATTTAAAAGATTACAACAAAGTATAAATAAAAGAAGATTCATCTAAATTTTATTGACTTATCTCTACTTAAATAAATATTTATAAAATTTTAAATAAAGAGAATAACAATAACAGTGATCATAAGAAAATAATACTCTTATTTCCATTGTTTCATTTAGATTTTCAAAATACTAATGTGTTAGAAAAAGTAAGTTGACGAATGGAATTATATAAACTTTTAATTAGTTTTATAGATTATAACATTCAAGTATTCTTCATTTAATTCAACCTCCAAATAAAGTTTTTTTTTCCTATTTTTCATATTAATTTAAAGAGCGAGTGCTGCTATCGCAAAAAACTATTTTTTAGCTCTAATATATGCTTTTTCTGGACGAAAAATATAGCAAACTTGAACAGTATCGTTATTAGTGGCATAACCATCGGAGGAGTTACGGAAAGCTCCGCTCCCCCTAGGAAATTTTCAGATTCCCTCAGACTGTCAGACACTCTTGATTAAAAAAGTATGTAAACGATCGAATCAAATATGTTAAATCATCCAACTCATCGTAAATATCAACTATTCACAAAACTACAATTCACTTTACATCTTTCTTTTTTCTATAGAGAAAAAAAAGCTAAATTTCTGCGAATAACTTTCAATTTCCTTCATCAAAAATTAGATTTCATATAACAAGATTATATCATATATGAAATTAGTATAACAATCTTAGCTAATTTCATGTCTGTTTCCAAACTTTTTAATAGGTTTGACTTTTTTTCTCGGTAAAACTTCTAGTAACTAGAACAAAAAGACGAAAATTCGGAGAAAAGTACAACCTTTGGAAACAGTTAAAATATACATCAATCAATTCAAACAGACATATACTAGGGTGTGGGTGTGGGTGTGGGTGAACGCAAGATACGAGAACAAAGGCACACACCCACACTCGTCATCATCAAAGGATTTTCAAGATTTGAATTGATTTAGGGACTTTTTTATATTGTTTTTCATACCGGATATGAAAAAAAGTTTGAGTTGGTAATAAAAAAGGAAGAAGGAGAAAGTTTTTGCATATTTTGAAAAAGATGTTTTCCAGAAAAAAAACTGTACTGTTCAAACTTTTTATATTTTTCTGCTTGAAAAAAACATTTTTTAGCACAAAAAGATGGTTTTTCGCGATAGAAGCTCTGGTTCTATAAAATGACGTTAAAAAAGGTGAAAAAAATTAAATTAAAGCTTCAATTGTCGACATGTTACAAATGAATATTAATTGTACTGACCTGGACGCATTTGAGTAAAAAGACGTAATTGAGAATAAACAAATTCATGACCAAGTTTTAACGTTTCTACATGAAATCGAATTTTGTTTAATAAATGAGAACAATAAAGTTGAAAAGTTGATAATGATGTTTGACGAAAACTGACACTTTTATAATAATATTCTTCTAATAATTTTGTATATCGTTCACATTCCATAGATTCAAATATTCTAATTGCTTCAACATTACCTAAATATTCCCAAATTATTAAAATAAGTTCATTGGGTAAACAATCGAAACAAGTTGTTGTTGTTGTTGATAATAAACATATATTGGTCATTATGAGTTATAACTGAAGATTATCTAAATAATAAGTATATTTATTACAAGATTTATTTCTAAAATCTAATAATGAAATATTTATTCTTTTATACAAATGTCTAACTGAAATTAGAGAAGAATCAACAAACGGACAACAGCATAATAAAGTTAGAATTATTTATCAAATTAATCACACTCATTTCAGTTATAAAAATATGAATTCAATAAATAAATTATTGAAATATCTCATCATGACTGAAAACAAACTTAATTTTTAAACGATTTGTTGGGTATTTTCTAATACTTAAAAGAACTTCAGCTCATCGAACTTTAAATAAAATATCTCGTTCTACAAGCACATCTATTATTATAATCTTCAAAGTTAACAGAAAAATATAAAAAGATTTAATAAATAATAATATTCATTCATTGTTGATGGGTATTTTTATAGTTAAAAATCACTGTCAGGAATTATGTCATTACTCATACTTTTAGAATAAACATTGACAAAGTTTCGAACCATTAAAAGATATTTATTATCTCAATGTACAAAACATTATCTATAAAAAATTTTCAAAGATAGAAAAGTCTTTATTTTCTTCACACAATAATTAACTCATTAATAGAACTTACTTCGTCATTTTCTCTAAATGTAATTATGTATCTTATTGAGATTAATTTTTTAGAAAAAGTTAATGCAAAATAGATTGATGCAGAATTTTCGAAAACATTTAGATTATTTTAATAATAATTCTAGTAAATACTTTAATTCTCAATTATTTAGTTAACATATAATCGATTTCACGCATCATCTTGATAATACTCGTTAAAAATGGCAATAATTTCAAAGAATATCACTTAACTAATATATTCTAAGAAAATCTAAATCTTTTTTTCATAATAAAAGATAATTTTCTTAACTTGAATATGTCATTGATACTTCTTATATTACAAAACAAATCTAATTATTCCAATAGATAAGAAAAATAAATTGTTTTATTCATTTACTTACAAATATTTCATATATGTTAATTATACAATGATTTTTCTTTAAATAAAATTCGTACCAGTAAATATTTTTTACAGATAATAGTTTCTACAATCGCTATTGCCGTTACTGTAATTGTGTTTTTTTTATCAACTTAGATTCATTAATATATATATATTGAAACAAAAAGTTTATTCGCAGGTCAACCACAAAAAGGACGAGAATGAAGAGGAAAAAATATATAATAGTATGCAGTCAAATTGGGATGAATTATGAACTCAATATCAGACGGTGAATACATTAATGCAGTAAGTGACGCTACATGTCAAAATACTTTTCTGTAAGATGAAGTTGATTTAGCGAATTGACTTTTATGTGATAATGTTATCAATGATGAATGATTTGAGTTAAATAAACAATTACTTCGAGTAGTCTGATGGCGACTATTTGACTTAGATTCTATTAGAGATGATTATTCATCATCAATGATAGGTAGATTTTTTAGAATGCGAGTCTTACTCTACAAACTGGCATATGAACAAAAGTTTTAAATTTCAATTTCGCGTCAGTTAGTAAATACATACCAAAAATATTTTTCTACAAACTATCTTATAAGACCTTTCAAAGATTTTCACATTACTGTTTAATAAAAGCAAATATAAGAATTTGTAATCCCATATTGAGAAAGAGATACAATTTCTGAGTCGTCATAATTGATTTTAACTCTCATTGATTGCTAACAAATAACTGAAAAATAAATAAACATTATGTACGAAGACTTTTTTGACGTACGTTAATAGCGAAATATTAACTAATGAATCTATATATATTTTGATTATGCGTTATTTATTTGTGACGCACTAAAGTGCTTACAAAAAATGAATCTATATTAGTTTATGTTGCTCATTAAATTTCTAATTTATTCAATAAACGTTTTTTGAATCAATTTCATAATTGATATTTAACAAATATATATAAAAACATCACATGTCTTTATATTTATCATATGAATAATCATAAATTCTTCTTAAAAGTCAACAAGAAAATATTTTTTAAATATCTTAAATTAAACAATATCCTCGAATTCATATAGAAAAATCAGATAAAAATAATCATTATCTTGAATAAGTAAATATACTCAACTATTATCATTATTGTATTGATTATTTATAATATTCTTCAGTTTTTTTATATTAATTTTCGAATGAAATGTTTCTTAAAATAAATTTTATTTAAATTGAATTATAAATATTAATCTTTTCTTTTGTTTATTCAAAATGTATATTTTTGAAATTAATATAATAGATCTATTCGAATTTGACAAATCAAATATATACGTTACATCATAGATGTCATAGATAAAGTTGTTTTGATTTGTTAAGTATTAAAAGACAGTTTTAGTATGATATAAATAGTATATCTATTTACTATGATGAATTAATCTATTACATAATCATATTTCTTTTAAAAGAAATAAAACAATTCGAAATACTTTCGATTCATATTAAAAATTTTATTTTGTATAGATAATTGTTTGTTAATAAATTCATTTTAGTTTATTCAATGTCTCATAAAAAGAAAAAAAAGACATATATCTCAATTGGCTTTACAGTTTTATATGTTGAAGATAATTTTAGTTGAAAATATTCCACCATCATATCAAATACAACATCTCAAGGTCAACATGCGTCAAGTGTTTAAATAATAAATTTACCTGAAGAAACTCAAGAACAAGACTTACGTGATTTATTTACTCCATTTGGTCCTGTTAGTCGAGTATTCTTAGCAAAAGATAAAACAAATAATACATCAAAAGGTTTTGCTTTTATAACATTTAATGAAAAGAAAGATGCACAAAAAGCTATTGAATGTGTATCTGGATTTGGTTATGATCATTTAATTCTTAAAGTTGAATGGGCAAAGTAATTTATTTTACATTAACACAAAATTTATTTTATTTTATTTGTTTTCTTTTTTACATTTTAGTAAACCACAGAATCAATAAATAACAACAACAACACCACCGATTCATTTCTTTTTTTTTTCGTTCTCTTGTTCAACATATTTTCATGAATAAAAAGATGGACAATGAGTTTGTTCCGATTGAGAAGAATATTTATCTAGTTGTTTAAGATAATTTCGATTTGGTGAAATTGTTGGACGAATTTTTGATATTAATAAATAAGCTGATGAAAGAGAATGGCCATGATGTTCAATTAAATAAGCAATTACAACTAAAATTATAAATAATAAATAAACATATATAAATATCGACATTTAGTTTTCCACGATTATTATAAATTAGATTTAGTTAATTTTATCTAAGAATTATTCAACTATTTGTACTCATTAAAAATAATCTGAATATTTTGAATGAAAAATCGTAATTATAATTATAAATTAAAATAATAATTTTTTCAAATGATAAAAACGCACTTGCAACTGATCGTGATCTTCCATGTTTACAAAAGACAAGACATCGTCCACCTTTTTGTTGACGACAATTATAAATAAACTGATTTATTTGTTGAAAATAAATTGTAATATTTTCATCAAGTGTATCATGTAAAGGTAAATGAAGAAGTTCATAGGATTGATCAAGAATAATTCTAGTTATACTTAAATTAACTAAATGTGTTATTTTAAGTTCATTTAATATTTCTGGTGTACATGCATCATTTATTGAACCCAAATAAAGAAAATCATCGATTATTGACGACATTAGTTAACCTTATGAATACATTTATTTGGTTTAATACTTTCACTATGTTTCTTTTTTCTTTTTCGTTCCTTATCATAAACGACCATCTGTCGCTATTTTACAAATCACGTGTGCTTTATATCGATAAGAAAAATAAAATAACAAATTATTTCTTAATTTTCATCACATTTTCAAAATTACTTTTTCAAAATATATTACGTTAGATAATTATTTATTTTATCTTAACTTATTTACGATAAAATAAAATTAATTAAATATTTGTAATTAATCTAACATTTATTTACAAATGAAATTAATTATTTTAACTATTTTTATATTTCTAATAAATGATATTTATTATGTTAAATTTAAGGATATAGAGTTGTTTTTCTATTCATATAAAAGATATAACAAATTTTTAATCATACATAAAAGTAAAATTAAATGATACTTTTCAACTTCAGTTTATTTGAAATTGATTCTTGATTTTTTTACGAAAAAAGTATAATATGATAATTATAGAATATAAGAATATTTATGATTGTTTATATCTCTTGCTGATCTATATTAATTATTATCAAGTTAAAGTTATATTACTGATAATTTTTAATTCTAATATATTTGTATATAGATTTTTCTCTCCATATTATTTTATTCATCATAAATCAATTAATTTATTTACATAGAGTTAAATATTTAAATAAAAATATACTTTATTTGAACATTAATATCATAAGTTGATTGAATATTTGATTTCCAAAAATTACTTTTATACATGATTGTTTACTTTTTCTATTTAATCGTAGAATACATTTATTATTCAGATAAACTTTAAACAATATCGATATCTAATTTGAATTACTTTTTAGTAAATTTATTCATTAAGAAATAAGTATTTATATAATTTACTATAAGAAAATAGTGAAGAAATCAAATGTTTTATTAAAGTTCCTGAGTATTCATGTTAGTTATATGAATATATCTTTTTATGAATTTATATTTATGGTATCAAAATAATCATTATAGAATCGAAATGTTCAATCAAAATCAATGTCATGAAAGCAAGAAATAGAATAGGTTATTCTAATCAATATTTTCAGATTACAATTCTTGAGGGTGTGAGTGTTGGTTTTTGCTAAGACAAGTGACTTTACTACCCGCACTCACGCCCGTATTGATCTTAAAAAAGAGATGATTATATTTATCTTCTTCTTCTTCTTCTTCTTCTTCTTCTTTGTTATAGTATAACATCAATAAAAAATATACAATATTATTAGACTATTTTCTTTTATTGAAACAATTTATAACATAGGAAAATATGGATGAGATTTTTCTGAAAAAAATGATTTATCTAGATAAAGATCTTTGACTCTACTAAAGTTAAAATATGTTGTATCAATGGTAAAAATGTTTGTTATCATTACCAATGATTCACATTTGATGTAAAGATTAAATAAATGAGGTAGATAAGTTATTTTCTTCAAGAGAAATTGTTCAGCATAATCTTCATGTGCCAATACTAGATCAAGAAGTTTAAGATGATGAAACGTAATTAATTCAGTAGATGAATATTGTTTATATTTTTGTGGTTGATCGTTACGTATATGTAATATTTCGATAAAAGGTATATCATGAGAGATAATTTGAAAGAATTTATGTTCAAAAGGAAATCTATCAATAACTACCAAATATCGCACTGAATGAAACATGTCTCCTGGAAAAGAATTATTGATTTCAAGTAAATATTCGAATTGATATGGAAGTGAATAAATATGACATTTTGATTCGATACTTGAATTAATATTGATGTATCAATTAATTTGTTTATATATTTCTTTTCCAATAAAACTACGTTGAATATCTTCATCTGATGAAAGATTAATATTAGTATTACATCTCCAGACACGTGTTTGAATATTAAATGTAAATTGATTTAATTTATTCATATGACAAAGAAGTTCATTATATAATTGAATACCATCAATATAATTTAAACGATATACTTTTATTAATAAATATAATTTTAATTCTTTAAGATTTATCATTCGACGAATAAATGGAAAAATTAGAGTTACATGTTGATCTGTGTATTCAGGTGAAATCAATGACAAATATTTTAATTTGGGAAGTTTTTTCTAGAAAGAATATTAACACTGAAAATATCTTGAAGGTTTATTTATAAAAAAGATGATCAAAATCAAATAAAGGGTGAGCCAAAAATCTTGGTAGTTCTCAGAAAAAATGATATATCTCCCTTGTAGTAAATTATAAATTTTTGAAACTTTGGTATCTTATGCTTCGAGAGTAGGTCAATATTACCCTAAAGTTTCAAGTCTTTATCTTTTACTATAAGGGAGATATAGAAGCTTATATTTTAAGTTTTATTTGCATCCATGTCCTAAATTAATAATTTACACATGTTACATGTAAATGACTAACTTTTGTATCCCAGTTTTTTTACGACAGGATACATTCTATAAAAATGCAAAACATCCCACGGGATGCAGCGTGAAAAGCTCTACAATCCACACAGTAGAGTACATTTTAATTACGTAGTTGTTGCTCTCGCAAAATAAACGAAACTTCGTGTGATTAACTTTTGCTGTGCGAAAACCCTAATCGAACAACGTTTTATTCGTTTTTGAAAACAAAAATTACACAAGAGTAAGAAACTTTTCTTTGTAAGTTGTAGGACTTTTGACGCTGCATCTTATGGCATATTTTATTTCTGATAAAAAGATATCTTCGGTGAAAAATGGTTGAAAAACCAATGAATTTTTTTGTTGATACAGTGAAAAACGATGTTTTTAGGCAAAAAACAAAATTGACTCCAAAGAGTTTTGGGATCTTTTAGTATCAAAAATTATATAGTAAAATTATACTTTACTATGCAGGCTGTAGAGCTTTTCACGCTGCATCTCGTAGTATGTTTTATTTTACTAAGAGAATATTTCAAGCCGTAGAATTTATAAAGCGCAAATTTGAATGCATAAATCATTAATTTACGATTTGTAGGAAATAAAACTTAAAATATAAACTCCTATATCTCCCTTATAGTAAAAGATAAAGACTTGAAATTTTAGGATAATATTGACCTACTCTCGAAGCATAAGATACCAAAGTTTCAACAATTTATAATTTACTGCAAGGGAGATATATCATTTTTTCTGAGAACTACCAAGATTTTTGGCTCACCCTTTATGATCATTTATCTATGCCAGAAAGAAATCTTTCTTTATTTTTTACTGTAAAAATAACAAATGTATTTATCTCTATATAATAAATCTAAAGATTGAATATATACTTATTCTATAAAGCAATGATGAATCAGTGCTCATAAACTATAAAGTTTAATATTTAATTTCGACCAAAAATTGAAAGAATAATATCATAGATTCATATGCAAAACGGTTAGTATATAACGTTATTTAATTTATGAATTTTTTACTCGACATAGTTTTCATTTTGTCTTCTATTAAGTGTGAACATATAGACACAAATATCGATTTGAAAATAGATTGACAATGAACGCCCTCTTTCTATTTGCAAAAGTTAAACATATTTAATATTCAATGCTATGTATGGATAAGTTTTTTTGTATGATTCGGAAATAAGCCTATAATATACCTCTTCAAAATCTCAAACTAATTAATCGTTCTATATGAAAAATATAATTATAAAATATTGGTATATCATAACAAATATATTCTGAGCAGATCTATAAACTCACTTTTCTAAAATTTAGTATGAATATTGTGCTGTTTTTTTTTAGAATATATTAACTATGAATAACTTATTTATGTTACGTCGTATTTTATCTTTATATCACAACAGATATAATATATCGTTGACCTTATTGTCATCAGCATCATCATCATCATCAAAAGCAATTTATTCAAGAATGAAAGGACTTATAGATTCAAAACAATATGAAAAAGCTTTATCTATTTTTGATCAAGAATCTCATTTATGTAAAGATATTGAAATCAATATGGCATTAAAAGCATGTATTAATTTAAAGGATTATCAACGTGGTATGAATATACAGAAAAAACTTTCTCAAAATTCACTTAAGAATCCTTATATTCAAACAACACTTATTCAATTTTACAGTGAGTTATACATTTTAGCAAATGAAATTCTAGCTTGAAACTACAATAATAATCGATTAATTTCATTTTTATGTACAATTGAATTGAATTTTCGAAATATTTTATCAATATTTGTTTATTATGTTAACGATGAATATGATTGTTAGTAGAATAAACACAATAACGACATTCACATCTAACCTTAATAAAATATCTCATATTAATTAATTATATTTTAATAATTACAGATAATTCAAATAATTAGTATCTTATTTTATGTTTATTTCTAGTGCAATTTCACGATATCGATAATGCTTATCGTCTATTCTCTACAATTAATAACAAATCAAATTACATCTATATAGCAATGTTTAAAGGTTATTAGAATTTTTATTCTTTCATTGATAAACTTCATTTTATTTTCAGGTCTCATTTCAAATAACATGTCAATAAAGGTGCTCGATTTATTCGACGAAATTAAAATTCAACCTAATGAACCTATTCTCGCTCTTGTATTTCGAGCGTGCACTCGAGTTGCTACTGATCGAGCAATGAAAACTGGAAGAAATATTCTTAATCAAATGCCTAAAACTTTTCTGAACGATAATATTCTACTTACTTCAGCAATAAATATGTTAATGAAATTTGGTGATGTTCAACGTGCTGAA